TATCAGAGCTTGGTGCTCTTTGATTTAAGGTCTAATCGCCTTGAGTTAAAGATCCAAGTTATCTTTTTGTGCTAATCTTATTTTGATTTTATTTGTATCTTGCTTGCATACATTTTCTTATTATGGATATGAATTATGCATCTTGTTTAGGCTATGATTCTAGTATTGCTTCTAAATTCAATGTTTTTCCTTATGCTCAATGGTGTTTTAGATTCAAATTATTTGTTCAATCTAAAAATATCGATTTATGGGAAGTCATTGATTGTGCTTATATTGTGCCCACGTTGGAGAAATCCAAGTGGAGCAAACATGATAAAAAGATGTTTATTATGAACAAGCTTATGTTAGTTTATTAAATGCATTTGATTCATTTATGTCTAACAAGCTTGATTCTTTTGATAGCGCTTATACATTATGAAAATTCATAGAAGCGCATCAAGGAGACTTGGAGGCGATCCGACAAGCTTTGGAGGATCCCGCTTCAAGTTCTAAAGGAGCTTCATGCACACGAGCACTAGGCGATAGCCCTAGTGAGGTTTACGAGTTCGAACCTGATAATGATTTATCTAGTGATGAACTTGCTTGTGCTAGTAAAAAATTATTGCATGCCTTTAACAAATTGCATAAAGATTTTGTTGATTTACAATACAAGCATGATAATTTAAAATCCGATCATGAGAAGCTAGTGTCCAAATTTATTGCTTAAAGAAAGCAATGATTTATTAAATTTGGAAAATAAAAATTTGATCTTATCTATTGCTAGCCTACCTCATGCTAAGATTGATGTCATGTTAGAAGTAGAGAACATAAAGAATGATACAGCTTCTTTTATAAATGACTATTTATGTTCTACTTCTAATAAAAATGCATATGTGCCTAAAAATAAAGATTTGAATCTTATGAATAAATACATTTTATCTTTAGATTCAACTTTGAAAACATGCATTAATAATCATAAGAGGCTTATGGATATGTGTGTCAAGTCTAAGTCATCATCTACTCATTATGCACACATATATAGTAAAATTTACAAATGCTCTATTTGCGGCCGAAAAGGTCATTTATCTAAATTTTGTTATGATGCACACAAACATAAGAATTCTAATGCTCCTTGTGCATCTCATGTAGCTTCTTCATCTTGTACACTTACACATTCACATGCTCATTCTCACAAAGTTCATCATAAGCATGCTAGTTTGTTCAAGTGTGATCATTGTGGTCGTTTTGGTCATTTGGCAGAATATTGTTTTGATTTGAAAAGAAAATCTCGTTTGCCAAATGTATCTAGTAGACCACATGTTTTTAAATATGATGTTTGTGGTAGGTTTGGGCATCTTGCTAAATTTTGTTTTGATTTGCAAAATGCTCCAAATTTACAATTTGCTTCAAAAAGACCACCTTTGTTTAATGATGTTTCTCATTTGCAAAATAATTTTAAAAGAAAATCTTTATTTGCAAATGATTCCCGTGCACGAGCTAATGGTCCACAAAAATAAATGGATCTCTTTCATTGCATAAATTGCAATCGGAAGGGTTATTTGAGTGATTATTGCTTTGACCGTGTTAGTGCACTACATGTGCCTAAACGGGTTCATAACCCTAGGGGTTTGAGCTTTAATGATAGGGGTCATGTCCCTAAATCTCTTGGTACCAAGAATTCTTGGGTACCAAAACAAATTTGATTTTTAAACCAAGTATTTTAGTGTTTTTTTTTCTTTTTCCTTTTCTTGGTTTTGAAAATTATACTTTAAAATTTTTGAACATGAAAACAATTCTTTTTATTGATCAAATTCTTTTGTTTTCATGATTATTGATTTTGTTTTGATGAGAGGTTTGTGTCTATATAAACCCTCCGGATTCATTGGGTGTTTATTCCCAAATCATGTTTACCGGATGCTTAAATGTTTATATGGGTTGATACTAGCTCAAGAGCTAGATATAATTGCCTCTCTTAATTTTTGAAAATCAATGATGATTTGGTTTTTACGTTCTTGGATTTAAACTTTGAACTCATTTGAGTGATTAATTTGTTTTCTTTTGAAAACTTTTTTTCATGGTTCTCATGTTTCCTCATTCTTTTGCTTTCATAAATTCATTCATACATGGTTTTTATGCTTGAGAAATGAGACATTATGTTCACTTTGATATATTTATATATGTGTGTCCTCATTGTATTTTTGTATGTGAGTGGTGTTTAGCATTTTTTTATCTATGCTTGCTCACATATATTTGCCTTGATCTTTATTGCATATATTCCATATGGCATTTTGATAGGGGGAGCAATCCCTATATTATTCTGTGTTATACTCACCCATGCATATTGTTAGGGGAGCTTTCGCTCTCTTATTCTTTTTGTCCCCTTTTTGATGTTGTCAAAGGGGGAGAAATATTGTGAGTATAGTCTTTCTTGTTTATATGCATGATATATTATACTTTGTATATTCATTTCCTTTCATGCATATATCCTTTTTGTAAATTGTTTGTCATCATCAAAAAGGGGGAGATTGTTGGCCTCTTTGTTTTGATGATGTTTAACAAACAATTTACCACTAATGTTGTTTGTCTAGTGTTGGTATATTTCTATTTATTATAGACAAACAACGAGTTGGAGGATGGATGGATTACGCCATAACGATCATATCAAATGGAGGTTGGTGGAATAGTGGTTGAAGCTATGCAAATTCAAGTTGAAGATCAAAGTTCAAGCTTCATCCGTAAGATTACCAAGAAGAGCTTATTGAAGATCAAGATCGGCTTGGGTAATTTAGTTTAGATTTTATATTATGTGTGTTAGATACTCTATATTTCATATTTACTATTGTGTTTTTGAAATCATTGCATAGAATATGAAATTTTGTGAAAATATTATATTCTTAGTTTTTGGACTTAACAATAATCATATACATATTTTATTAAGTTTATATAATCATTGTACAAAGTTTCAAAACATGGTTTAGCCTAAATGTCAAAATTCATATGTTTACATTTTTCGTGTTTTGGACTATTTTGCAAAATGATGATTTTTCACAAATAGGAAATGCAATTTGGAAAATTCTTTTTGTAACATGTTCATTTACATGTTTATATATATTTCCCAAAGTTTTATTATTTTTGGACTTCATTTGTTATTTTTTAATAATTTTCCAAAAGTCTCAAAATCTGTTTCAAAACCTGTTTTCTGTAGTGTCTGTTCGCGGTCGACCGCCACGGTCGACTGCCCATGAGTTTAGAACTCAGAACAGTTCTTGTTGGCTCACGGTCGACCGTGGCGGTCGACCGTAGCGAGTCCACGTCGCGGTCGACCGTCGTTTGTCCAGATTCTTTTTTACTGTTTTTTGTTGCTCGCGGTCGACCGTCGAACTGTAACATCAGCTCTAACGGTTAGTTTTCCAGCCCGTTGCTGATCTGGTTTTTTGGTCTTTTCTTGTTTTTCTCTTGTCTTTGGGGTTTCATATAAATACCCCTTTACCTCAGTTTTTATGATCATCCAAGAGAATGTTTTTTAAATAGTTTAAAAAGAGTTTAAGCTTGTTTTAAGCTTGTTTAAGGGTTTGGTTTATGAAGAAAGTTTAAACAAGAGCTTGAGGAGATTATCAATTGTATTTTGGGCATTCAATCCATCTCTCTCTCTTGTCATCTAGAGAAGTTTTCCTAAACCCAACTCTAGCTTTTATTTATAATTATTTGTTGATTATCATTTCTATTAAAGCTAGTTTTATATTGAGTTTAGATTTGATTTTACTCATTGTTACACACACCCACTTGAGCTTATTGTATTTGCATACATAGTATAATAGGGTTGTGAGAGATTGTAACATTGAGTTGTGCTTAATTGAGTTCTCATCTATTGTAGAGAATAAATTTATATTTGTTACATTGTGAGTGGTGTAAGGTTTTCGGTGAGCTAGAAAACCGAGTGTGTTGTGGAGTTTTCGGTGAACTATAAAACCGAGTGTGAGGAGTGAACGTTGATCGGTGAGCGTTGAAAACCGACACTGTGAGGTGTAAACGTTATTCGGGTGAGCGTAGAAAACCCGGTTGTGATAGTGGATTTCTCCCCGGGAGTGGGGAGCGGAGACGTAGGACGGAAGGTCCGAACTCCGTGATCATTTGATTGTGTTTGTGCTTTGGCGTTTATTTATATTTGTGCCCATTGCTCATATCGTCATTGTCTCATTATTTATATGATCCACTATCTAGCTCATATTGTTTACCCCTTTTGTGTTAGTTTCATATCCTTGCATATATCTTGTTGTATATATCCTTGCATACATATTTCATCATATAGGATATATCTCATTGTTTACATTGCTTATCCTAGCTCATATATCTTATGGTATTATATCTCATTGTTTACATTGCTTATCCTAGCTCATATATCTTATGGTATTTCATACTTGCTAGGATAACTTGTTAATTAATTTTAATTGGCATATAATCGGATTAGATTAGCATAAGACCCTAATCACCCCCTCTAGGGTCTAACAGAGACATAGGTCATGGGTCGACCGAACTCCGTAATCATTTTATTGTGTTTGTGTTTGGCATTGGCGTATATTTCTCTTATATCTTATGCTCATTGTTTATATCGCCTATTGTCATATTGTTTATCATTGCTTATCCTTTCATATAATTTGTTGCATATCATACTTGCTAGGATATTAGTTAATAAGTTTTAATTTGGTATTAGTATCGGATTATATTAACAATTACCCTATTAACCCCCCTCTAGGGTACTTTCACTTATAGTTCTGTTTGTGCACTTTTTTTCACTCTTTAATTCTAGGGGATTCTTTGGAAACACCCCAAAGTTCAGGGGTCTTGAGAACTTTTTTATTCCCCTAAAGCCCGTAATTATCGGGTTGTCTCCCAAAACCCCTTTGTAACTATCAAATTTTTTCAAGAGACCCTCTTAAACGGCGTTAACGGAGTCCGCACTAATGGAACAAGATGAGGTCTATTCGCAATTGGACAAAACTGCAGGGAGCCTATTAGCCAAATATAAACATGATGTTAATGGACCGAAACCGAAATTTTTATCACCTACACTCGCTCTACCCGAACCTCTATCTCCATATTTAAATCCCTTCTGTCCCCCAAAATCTCCTACCCGCCAAAAATCCAGTTCAAATGAACCCTTCAAAGTGTCATCTCCTCCTAAAATCCTGCAAAACCCTGAACCAACTCAAGCAAATCCATGCACAATCCATAACCCAATCCCTCCACCCTCACCATCAACCCCTCTCCTGCAAGATCCTCAACCTCTATTCGAACCTCAACAGACCCATTGATGCCCTCAATGTCTTCACCCAAATCCCAGACCCTGATCTAATCACCCTCACCAGCCTCATCAATTTACACTTGCACTCCAATCAACCCCGAAAAGCCATCTGGGTCTTTGCCGAAATTTTAAAATCCGGCAAAAAACCTGATGGGTTTGCTGCCGTTGGTGCTCTCTCTGCCTCTGGTTTGATTTGTGATCTTAAGCTAGGAAAATCTCTTCATGGGTTTGTTTTAAGACATGGATTAGGATTTGAGACTGTTGTAAATAATGCATTGGTTGATACCTACTGTCGAAATGGTAGATTGGAGCTTGCCAAGATTGTTTTTGATGAAATGGGTGAAAGAGATCCTGTGTCTTGGAGTAGTTTGTTGCATGGATATGTGATTTATGGCAGTTTGGAGCATGCTTGTGAGTTGTTCGATGAAATGACAAAGAGAGATGTGGTTTGCTGGACTGTGATGATAACGGGTCACGTACAGAGAAAATGCCCGGTTCGTGCTCTAGAGCTATTTAGTGAGATGAAATTAGAGGGTCATCGTCCTACCTTGATCACGATTGTTGGTGTACTGTCAGCCTGTGCGGATATCGGAGCATTGGATCTCGGGCGTGCCATTCATGGATGCATTGCAAAAATAAATTTAGGGCTGGATGTTACCATCGTGTATAATGCACTTATTGATATGTATTCGAAGAGTGGGGATCTCAAAATGGCCGTTGAGATCTTTAAGGGTACGATGAAGAAGGATGTTTATACTTGGACTACAATGATTTCAGGGTTCGCAGTTCATGGCCAGGGATTGAGAGCTATCAAAGTATTCAACGATATGCTGGACTCGGGAATAAGACCAAATGAAGTGACGTTTTTGTCTGTCCTTTTGGCTTGTAGCCATTCAGGATTGGTAAATGAAGGTAGAGTTTGGTTCAAGAAAATGAGTGAAATCCATAAATTGAAGCCCAAAGTTGAACATTATGGATGCATGGTCGATCTTTTTGGGCGAGCAGGGCAACTTAAGGAAGCAAAGAAATTGGTAAAAGAGATGAGTAGAAATCCAGATTGTGTTATATGGAGATCATTGCTAAGTGCATCTTTAGTTCACGGTGATATAAAACTGGCTGAGACCGCAGGGAGAGAGATAATCAAGCAAGATCCTAATGATGATGGGGTTTATGTGCTTCTATGGAATATGTATGCTTCTTCGAATCGATGGGAGGAAGCTCGAGAAATGAGGAAAGAGATGACAGAAAGGAAACTTGTCAAGATGCCAGGGTGTAGTTGGATTGAGCTTGATGGTATTGTTCATGAATTTTTGGTCGAAGACAGGATACACTTACTCTGTGAAGATATATGCTTGATTTTGGAGGGGATTTCCAAGCACTTGAAGATGGATACAGTTCCTTTCTTTGAGGATGATTGTGTTTGGTTATAGATAATGAAGTATGAAGATGACCCAGAAACCAAAGATGATCTGCAATCCGCAGTTTTGCAACATTTCCAGGTTTTTCTTCCACTATGATTAATTTTTTTCCCATTCTAATTTTCTGCAAATACTCGCTGTATAATTCGTTTGTAACCATAAGAAACTCAAAATCATTTATGCAATGCTATATATTTTAAAACAGATCTCTCGCCAGGGTGTAGTTGGATTGAGCTTGATGTTATTGCTCATGAATTTTTGGTTGAAGACAGGATAACACTTACTTTGTGAAGATATATACTTGATTTTGGAGGGGATTGCCAAGCACTTGAAGATGGATACAGTTCCTTTCCAGGTTTTTCTTCCACTTTGGTTATTTATTTATTTTCTATTCTAATTTTCTGCAGATATTGGCTGTATAATTCGTTGTAATCATAAGAAACTCAAAATCATTTTGGCAATGCTATATGGTTTATAACAGAACTCTTGCTCTTTATAGAAGTAGTCGTTGTTTATCTTGACACGAACCAATCGAGCACTAGTTTTGAGAAATCTTACAGATTTGACACAGTAGTGTAGTACTTGCCAACAGTCTGTGAACATCTTTAATATCCAAAACCACAAAGCTCTCCACAATTTTGCTTCATCTAAGGAGCTCTGAGGACCAAAGTAATAACAACATGCAATCAAAATCTGTAAGACAAAATAAATCCATGGTAATTGTAATTGCAATTGTTCTGAGTAATAAATATAAAGCACAAAAATATTTCAGGACCTGACTTGAAAAACATTCATGTATTGTACGGTAACTATAGAAATCATTCAGAGGTACAGAATCATCATCTTTTTAGATCACCCTCTGATTTATTTTTCCCCTCCTTGCACATAGTACCTACGGCATGAGACCTCTAAAGGTATCTTCTCGAAAGCAATTTCTAGCCTAGAGAAATTATAAGATCCAGCATTCTCTCTCAGGCAATTTAGAAATTCCACCCGAGAGGAGGGAATTCAGGTCTCTGTGGTGGATTAGCTGCAAGTTCTCCTCGAGTTTTCTCTTGTTCCAGCCACAGTTGTCTGCTATCACCATTCTCGTGTTCATCTATTAGCATCTGATTCAAGCAATCTGCTTTCATGTTGCTTTCACTTATCTGGTGACAGTTGATTACTTCAGCATGTTTCGGTGGTCGTACAGCCTTCTTTCCTCTAACAACCTTCAGGAGAAAATAAATAATGAAAAATCGATACAGATGTCATCCATCAAAAAACACAATTGAGAAAATAATTTAGACTTCTGTTTCGGGGAAATTGCAACAACCTAACAACCCTCTTCATCTATACTGGTTTTTAAGTAACTCCCTCATCTAAAAAGTTCAACTAAAAGCCCCCTCTGTTTGTAACCACTAATGAAATAGTCAATATGTACTTCAGCCTTTTTTTGTTCAAATTTCTGCATAGACGTTTGCACTTGAATTGATGTCTAAACTTCAAAATTCACGTATTTAGGTAGTTAAGGGAAGAAAATATAGAAGAAAAGTCAGTCTCAAAAGAACTAATATTTTATTATAAAACCTAGAATTCTGCATGTGGATTCCGTACAGAGATCTGAAGGAACAAACTCCTCAACTAAAGGGTTTCATTACTGATCATAGTTGAGGGTTTTCATCTGTCGAACCTTTTAAATGAGGGAATTTCTAGTATTTTACCTATAATTTATACTCTTCTCACTTTCATATTAGGAATTTCAGTAGTCAAAAACCACCATTACAAGTTACATATCACAGAAAGGTATTAAACTACTGGTGTATTTCATATCCTTTGAAACTCACATAATTGTCAGATACCAAACTTCTGTAAATAATGAAGTAGTCGCCCGCCTGAAGGCCATGTGCTTTTACAAATTCACCTGAACGACGGAAACATACATACTTTACAAAACAAGATATGATGTTTTATAAATCAAATACACAAAAGTATGAGTACCTGTAGACTCCATAATATACATTCGGCTTTTATTATTGGGCCAGAACCTAAACATAAAATAAACTTAAGAAAATTTTCACCAACTATTCAAGATCAACATGGATAAATTTTCACAACTATTCAATACATTTTTGTGCTGCCATTTACTAGTATCTATATGGACAGTCCACAAGATTAAGCATTATAGATTTACTTCTCGAGTTAAGTGCTCAATTACAAAAGGTAATACCTGTACTTGAATTTCCATGTTACTGGAAGTGCAAGATCATCCACCTCCAATATGATTCCGTCCCTTTCGGTTAATGGAGGAAGATTCGCCTCTGCCTCCTTCTGCAGATTAAAAACAAAGTTAAACCAATCTGTAAATCCAATCATGGTTCCTATGTTTTGGCTTGAGTATAAATTTTAGAAAATAAATAATAATTCTATAGTTTGAATTTGAAATAAATTGATTACAACCAAAAGACAGAAAATGGGAGTGAAAACAATTACTTAATACCTTAGGCAGCACTATTCTACCAACAGTTCCAACATCACTATTTGACAACTCTTTTCGCATGATCAATTTTAGCGCTGTATCCTCCAGATCCTGCCAGGTTCACATAAAAGAAAAAGAGCTAATATTAAGAAATGTTTATGTAAATATTATTAAGCTGCTTTACATCGTTAAAGAGAGCAACCAGTATTTGTACTCTGTTTGAGCGGAAATCTGAACTAGCTTTGACTAATATACATTCATGAATTGTAGATAAATCTAACTTTATCATAGATATAATTTCTGAAAACTAACGGATTCATCAAATTTGTCATTCATCATGAACTGGTTTGTACATACGTCATCGAATTCTTCAATGGGAGGATGGATCGTATGTTGCCTTAAAGTCTGACGTATCCCCAATGAACTGTTCTCGCTTGATTGAATTGATCTGGACCGCATATTGCATATGTGTCCCTAGCAAAAAAATAGTCTTTAAGAAGCTAGAAGATTTCTATTACATGATTAGATAGTTTGAAAGTTCTCTTTTAATATGTTCACCTCATGATTCTTGGACTCTCCAATGTCTGAATGTTCATTTTCTTTGAAATTTGCTGACAAACAACTTGACGGCATGAGTGTTGGTTGTGAAGTAGCTGGTAATGCCATGGAGTTGCATGGCAAAGCTGCATAGGAACAAAACTTTAACATACTACTTAGAGCTTCATTTCATATCTCTCAAACAAAAAGGTAAATTGCAGACAACCCCCCTCATCTATACCTTCAGTAACACTTATCACCTGTATTCATTTATTAGCATCAATCACCCTTCAATTAGGGGTTTCATAACGATAAATTGCAAATAACCCCTCTCTCATGGATTGAGGAATACAAAATGTTAATGAAAATATTTGATGGTTTTGTACAAAGAACATTACATGAGCTTTTGGAGCATACTAGTCGCTAGATCTAGTATCGGGAAATAAACACTACTAAGAGAGCGTTAGCCTAAAAGACTGATATTGGTGACATTGTGCATAATATCTCTAAAACAATTATAGAAAATGTTTAGATTATACCTGATGCAGAGTAGAAGTTGTTGTTCATAATAGGAGGGAAACTTTCCACTTGCGAAAGAAAGGAGTAAGAATTTGGAGGGTTGATGTTTGGAAAGTCGACAAGTGTCTTCATGTTTGATACAGAATTTGGAACGCTATTGTTTTCATATGGCAACCCATTTCCAAGAAAACCACTTCCTGCATGATAACGAACAAAAGAAATAAGTAATAAATAAATAAACAAACAAGATAGTACTAACTACTATAATTAAAGGGTAAAACAAGATGGTGCAAGTTTTGAATGTATTGATTCATGACATTCTTATGAAGAAAGGGAGAAAGGAGAAAATATATAATATCATGAATATCCTTTCATCCTTTTTTTTAAATATTTTTTCTTCATCGATGGACTTCATTAATCTTTCCTTCTGCGATAAGGCATGTATCTTTGAGACTTTGTTATCCATAACTAAATTTAATTCACTGCTGGATAGCTGAGCTTCAATATCCACTTCTTCTCCTTCAATAGTAAAATTAAAACTTATATGCAAATTACATATATACAATTCACCTATTCATTAATATATCCAACAATTAGTGCACAAAGCTAGCATGATACCACATAATTCATCAGCCGATAGGAGGTTCATCTTCTTTACAAAAAATGTATTTATATTCTTAAAATATATATACATTAGTAAAAACAATGGCCTATATGTACATTCTGATACATTATGTACATTCTAATGCATTATTTGCAAATACACTCCAAGTCATAACACAAGAAATTTACTCAATTGATCAAAATCTAATGCTTAAACAAAGGATGCAAAAATTCTATACCAACCACTTGAATGCTTACCTAATTGAGCATTGTCTCCATGAAACCCTAACCCATTAAGCCCAACAGGTGCTTGATCGAATTCCAACTCTCGACACCGTAGCGAATTCGAACCTCCTCTTGACAAAATTGGCATTGAATTTTCACCTCCAAAGCAAAATCCACCACTTCTACTACTCTTTCCACCCTCACCCCCCTCCATTGAGCTTAATCGAAGATCCGTACTTGGTGATTTCACCTTCTTACCCTTCTCACTATCCAACAACCTATGAAAATTCATACTTCAAAAATTAGAACACACAAAAAACCCCTAATTTGAATTCAATGACACGCGATAGGAGTGAAGTAAATCTAGAGACTGTATTTGGTATTTATAGGCGAAAACTTACGTGGCGACGAAGTTGCGAAGAATACGGTAAAAGTAAACCCTAGGGTTTTTTTTAGGGAAGTAATTTTATGAAGAGGATTGGATTGAACCTAGACATGCACATTACATGCATATATGGCTAAGAAATCTTTGTCTTGAGGTGGAAGTACTGTAAAGATATAGTGAAGATTTGGTGAAGGTCTAATGACTTGAATCAATAATCACAATAAAAATATCAAAAGCAGAAAAAAAAAATTTAAAATAATTTTGGTTGTGGAGAATGAAGTTTGAATCAAGAGAGGCAAGAAAGAAGAAGGAAAGACGCTGGTTTTCAAGAGGTTTATAAGGAAATGGACAGGGGATCGTCTGAAATATAACTTTACATTAGAAGTGGGGCCCGCCAAGGTTGTATTCGTTGATTGCTTATCTTGCATAATTAAGCTGTTTGGTGTTATGGACTTGTAGTAGATCACATTATAGGGGTCCGTCGTGATGCAATTTTTTTTATTTTAAAGGGTGTTATTTGTAATTTTTAGATTGGGTCCTCTCCACTATTAAAAAATAGTGACAGTTACTATATTAAAATTGTTTATTTATTTACTTGGTGGCTGTGGTTTATTTTTAAGCATAAATTATGAAAGTAAAGCAATTCATGTGGTATGTTCGTTATTAGATATAGAATGAATCATAATCATCCATTACGAATGCAGTTGTCTTTTCATTTTAATTTTTTTATGGTGAAGAAGATCCAATTCCTTTTTCTTTGAGGGGGAGGGCTATCTGCAATTTTTAGTTAAGTTTGAGATTTCCATGAGTTGGTGCAAATATTCATTTTGTTTGTGTTAGCCATGATTGTATAATTGGCACTTTTCTATGGGAAGGTAAAGCTATTCGGTGTTAATGAATTGGTAGGGGATTGGTTTATTGGGGAA